GCTAAGTAGCAGTACTAGGTGTGACCAAATGCCTGGGGCAAAGTATCTTAAAGGAGGGAGGATTTGCCTTGGCTCACAGTTTTAGGGTCCAGTCTATCATGGCAGGGTAGGCCTGGTAGCTGGAGCGTATGGAGACTGATCACATTGCATCCACAGTCAGGAAACAGAGAGGTGAATGATGGCACTCAGTCTCTGCCTCCGGAGTGCTGGGATTAAAGGTGTGTGTCACCATTGCAGGGGCTTCTCAGGCTCCTTCCAAGGCCCTTGGGCCTAATCTTGAACTTGCCATGCGTATGCAACTCTTTAAAGGGGTCCCCAATATATTAACTCCAGGGCCTCATATTTAGACTTGACCTTCAGAACTTCACTGTGTTGATGCAGCTGTCCCTATAAGATGAATGGCCATGGCAAGAGATGGGAATGAGCTTTGCATTTTCCCTTGAGGTGGCTCCCGGCATCCCTTGGTGGGAAGAGTTGGCTGGCATGTTACCAGTTGGCTTCTCTCTCTCTCTCTCTCTCTCTCTCTCTCTCTCTCTCTCTCTCTCTCTCTCTCTCTTTTTAATTCTTGTCAGCTGCACCCCACTCACCTATGGGGCAGGGGGAGAACTTCTGCACTTGGTATGCAGTTTGGGTCTAAAAGTTTTAAGCCAGTGAAAGTTTTGGTAGCATTGTTTCTGTGAACATGATCAGATATCTACGGAATCAAACAAGCAGCTTCAGGATACCCAGGGAGAAGCAGTAATGGCTGTGGAGTAAGAAGGGATCTAAGTTTGTCCGGGGCTGCTTCTCCCCATCAGCAACTGTAGGACCTGTAAATGGTATCCCTATTGTTTGTGCCTCAATGTCTTCCTTTATGAAATGGGGACCCTGACTACAGCCCCCTCACTGGGCTGCGAGCCCTGTGTGTGTGCCAGGACCACTGCACAGCAATTACTCAGCACGTCTCATGGCTAGTAGTAAACTAGATGTTCTCCTGGGCCTCCATTTCCTAGTCAGATTTCCTCAGTCCCTTTTCAGGCAGGTCTTTGTGGTTTCTTTCTTTTATCTCTTTTATGGGATGTTTTTTTTTAAAAAATTGGACAATAATTTTTTAATTTCTGGAAGCTCTTCCCATTCTTCCATTATTTAAAGGCAGCTTGTTCTGTTGGCTTATGGCTGCAATATCTTCTCCAACGTGTCATAGGAAATGAATTCAATCTTTTAGGGTTCTCCACTCATCTCTGAATTGCCTGATGTCTTTGGGGAGCTCTGCCTGGTGACCCTGCTTGGGGCTATTGATTTCCCTCAGTGTGTGTGGGTCCACACCTATACTTTAGCCTTAATGGGCCACACTGGGGAAGGAGCACGGGGCTTCTGTGATTTGTTATTTGAGTGTGTTTGGTCTCTGGGCTTCCACCTCTAAGGGAAAACTGACTGAGGGTTTGTGTCATGAAATAGCATCTGTCAGGCTGGGACAGACAGAGTGATGCTCCTCTCTGTGGAAGTTCTGATAATGCCTACCATTAGGAACTTTGTCTCAACTCCCATACCACAGTCATTTGCTTTATAGAGGAGAACTCCAATTTTGGTTTTTCACAAAATGAAGCAACAAGAGATGAAGGTAGAAGGAATGGAGGTGTGTGTGTGGGGGAGCCCCTATCTTCTGTGGACAGATTTTCAGAGGCTTTTATTTTGAGATGGCTTTAGATTTGTCAAAGGGCTTCAGAGATTGCATTAAAATTCCCTAGCACCATTCACTCACCTTCCCCCAGGGTGAGCTTCTTATATAACTTTGGCATACGTGTCAAATGAAGAAACTCACATTAGCAAATTACTGTTCACTGAACTAGGAGTGTGTTCATCTGGTGATGGTTCTTTGGCCTTGCCACCAGCTGTCTCATTCCTTAGCAGTCACTTCTGGACCTCTGGCAATCCATAACCAGTTCCCATTTTCCCTTCTTTCATGACCTTGGTACTTTGAGTGGATAAAGTTTAAGTATTTTGTAGAATGTTCCTAAGTTGAAATGTTCCCATGATCCATCCCTCCCTCCATCCCTCCCTCCCTCCCTCCCTCCCTACCTCCCTCCCTCTTCTTCCTTCTGACAGGGTCTAACTGTATAGCCCTGGCTGGCCTGGAACTTACAAAGATCCACCTGTCTCTTCCTCCTGAGTTTTAGAATTGGAGGCATGCATGACCACCAGATGTGTTTTTGCATTTAATGGAGGTTAGTCATTAATACAACAAGAGAGTTTCTGTATGCCAGGCCTGTCTGCCCCTCATATTCACTCATCACTTGGTAATGAGATAGAGGTTTCTTTTCTAATAGGTCAGGACTTGGGCCATCAATGGAGCCACTGTTCCCAGAAGCTGACTTCTAGGGTAATACTCAGAGTTTGCCAGTGTCAAAGTTAAGTTCTGGAAGGGATGGCAACCTTGTTAAGGCTTGGGTTCTGTATTTCCTGTTTCTGCTTGACCCTCTGAGCAGGCTTCCAGATGTATAATTTGGATAATGATGTAGACATTTGGAAGTCCATTTTGCTATTGTTTTCCAAGCTTCCTTGAGAATCTGGTGTGGCTGGCTTGGGGACAGGTGGGAAGAGCTGAGTGGTAAGATGAAATTTTGGTGGTTTTTTTTTTTGTTTGTTTGTTTGTTTGATCCGAGTCAGAAGTCTGTTAGAGACTTCCCCAACTCTACCCTTAATTACTACATTCTAGCTCAGGATATAACATGTGTGTTCAGGCTGCTGTAGTATAATGCTATAGACTGGGTGGCATATGAAGAAGAAAAGGTTGTCTGCCATGGCTTTGAGCACTGGGGAGTCCAAGATGGAAGGATTATCCAGTGTGTGGTGACGACTCACTTTCTTCTTCACATGGGGGCCTTCTCATGCCCTCACATGGTGGAAGGGACAAGCCTCTTCTGGCTTTTTGAATAATGGCACTACTCCTATTGTTGAGGGCTCTACTCTCAAGACTTACCAGCCTCCTGTCATGTGAGATGCTTTTCTAGGGAGATTCCTTTTCTTTCATAAGGAGATGACATTTGAATTTGTAAAGTGGTGGCCCTAGGGTGTTTTCTTGACTGAGTGCTACAAAAGTTTTCTGAGCAAGGTCAACTGGGAAATGTTTCAGCTCTGTGGGCCACAGGCCTCTGTTGAAAGGACTTGGGGATGACACTGCAGGGAGAAGGCTGCTTTATATTGAATAGACACTAGCAGATGGCCTGTCAGGATGAAAGCAGGGACTCTAGGTCCTTGCTACTGAAGTGTGGTTCTTCCCCAGTGTGATCTGTGCATTCTGAGTGCTAGTTAGCAATGCAGAGTCTCAGGTCTCTGAGACTTATGGACCTGGGACTTTCAGGTTTCAAGATCATCTCTAAGAAGCCCACAATGTCAAAAATGGTGTCACTCTCACTATCTAGAATGATAATGGTTCCTACATCCACCCAACTGGGTGAGTGAGGAGACCACAGGCTCCATAAATGTAAGGAAGTGAACACCAGCCCCAGAAAGTCCCTGAAGCTTACACGATTCAGGAGCCCCTCCCTTTCCCAGGGTTAAACAGTAAAGACTGCTAAAGAGAGGAGACTCTCCCATCTGTTGAGCAGCCTGCAATTGTAGAGTGTTCCAGTACTGCACAATCCATGAGTTATCTACCACTCATGCTGTGTTGGGCTTTTGTATGGTACAGCTGCCTTTGAGTCCTATATGTGATCCTAATACTCTCATTGGCTCACCAAGTTGGACTTTGGTGGAATCATTCTTTTAGTCTGTTGTCAGTGCCCTGTCTGGGGTGAATAGATATTTCTTTATGTCTCCCCAGGCAGGTCTCACACAAAAGGAGGAATAATGTGTACAATCTGATTGTTCTTCTGCCAAAGCCGGGTTGAGGTCACACATTCTGGGAATGGAGGTTGGATGAGAGAGAAGTGAAAACTCATTTGGGACTTGGGCCTCATGAAGAGGTTTCTTTGAAGAGGGACAGTCCTTGATGGCATTGAAGAGAGAAAGCCCTGGGCAGTGCATGGGGGTAGGGAGTGAGTGGGGTGGTCTTGCCCAAAGCAAGTGCTACAGACAGTTTGTGTTGGGTTTGCCTATCTCATTCACTAAAAAACTGTTGCTTTCCCCTTACCAAGCACATTCTGTGAAAGCTGTGAGGGATTTTCATGGAAGTCCACAGAGAAGAGCTATGCCTGGTGTGGATTAGTATTGCCATGGGTCCCAGGAGACTTGGCAGTGGTGGCACTGACCTCTGAGAAATGTTTGCAATGCCTTACACAGATGAAAGCTGAAAGTCATCCCAGTGGAGAGGAAGGTTGGAAGGTAGTGAGTAAGTCAAGAAGCCCATGAACATCGAAGACACTGTCCTGTGCTCCTATGTGTATGAGGTCCAGGTGGCAATTCAAGGACATTAGAAATCATGTTTGTCTATGTGTTCCATATTTGGGATTTCTACCCTCCAGGATAGATTCTTTCTTTATAAACACATAGTAATAATATAAATTATAGTCAAATGGGGAGACCTTCGAATAGCCAAGCTCAGTTTGATCTATGGGAAAAGTCAGTATGTCATTGACACAACACCCCATCTGCTGTAGTTTGCATCTTATGTCTCTGGACAGTATGGGTTTTAAAGGCTTGGCCCTAGAACAGTGATATTTGGAGGGAGTGAGACATTTAAGAGGTGGGGTCTTGAGGGCTTTAGGTCACTGGGGCATGTCCTTATGGGACATAGTGGGACACTGGCTACTTATTACTCTTTCTGATCCCTGGCTCCCAATGTAAGTCAGCCCACCACACATTCTTGCTAGATCTGCTGTATCCCACAGGCCTTAAGAAAGACACTGAAAGAAACCTTTTCTCTTTCTAAGTTAGTTATCTTAGATGTGTTGCTATAGTGACAGAAATATGATTATGCCATCTCTGCTTCTGATTAAATTCGAGCCCCTTATCTATAAGAAGGTCCAGCCTACCCATCCCAGAATTAAGAGCAGTTATACAAGGAATGTTAGAGTGATCGTTTATTCCAAACAAGGTACACGGACTTAAACAGAGCCAAGAAATCAGGGTTCCCCACCCTGCAACTTCCACCCCTGCCTCTCATTCATGAGCTCATCCCAACAAGAAATTGTAATACTTCCAGGTCACAGTGTAGAGAAGAGCAGTTGGGACATCCAGGAGGGCAGGAGGGACAAACAGGGCCTGGAGACATGGACTGGGCAGGAGATAGATGCGAGGAGACTCAGTTAAGGGGAGGGGAGCAATGCTGTTATTTGAAGAAAAGTGTAAAACCTTTCCATACATTAAAAGGTCTCTCACAAGATCTAAGAGATGACACCGACAGACTCAAATCACAGTGGAAAAGTAGAAAATAGAAATGGATTTAAAAGTCAAAACAGTTGATCTCAGCATGGATGTTCAGAGACCTCAGAGGCTCCAGGTAGGAAAGGAAAACAAATTGTAAACTTGGAAGATCCTTGGAAAATGGACCTACCATGCTGGCAAAACAAGAAAGTACCTCCAGCAGAGGAAAGGGGGATGGTGATTGTGATGGTGATGATAAAGATAATGAGAAAGATGATGAGGATGGTGAAGGAGAACATGATGCTAATGATGGAAAGATGATGATGAGGAGAGTGATGTCAGACTACTGTTGGCTGTCAGTCATCACTGTGTGGTACATGGAATCTTATCATGCCCTGTAACAACTCTGAAAGGTCAACATTCTCTTTCCTGTTTGAAAGTGAGGAAACTGACCCTTGAGTAACCATGTGACTTGCGGAGGTCTTCCAGTCTTGGCAGCAACTGCCAATTGGCTGCAAAACCCTAGCTTTCTTTGCCTCAGCATCCCCAACTCCAGTGTCAACTGATCTCTGGCCAGGTTATAAAATGCTTTGCTTCTTGAGTGATCCTGCTTTCATCTTCAACAGACTAGGTAGAGGCTTCACAACATCTCCCCAGCCAGGCAGCATTTGCACGGCAGGCTGACTGGCTTGTTTTATCCACTTCTTGGGAAGGAAAACCTCGAAGGATCATGGGGACTGAGGCTCTGCTGCAGTATGAGTCCTCTGGGATCCCACAACTCTCTGTGGGAGGAAGAAGTAACCAGAGATGCACCTGAGTGCGGTCCAGCATGGGGATATGGGATATGGCAAGAACTGGTGACTGCTGAAATCCAAAGGTTGGAGTGACCGTTCATGAGTCAGGGAGAAGCATGTCTGCAGCACGGAGCCCTGGGCTTGGTCTGTATGCTGCACCATTCCCAAAGACCAGGAAGTCTGTGGATGACTCTTCATGGTTGCTTTGAGACCTGGGAGTCCCATGCCAGCTATTTATGTTGTTGAAAGTACCATCTAACAAACTAGGATGAGTCAAATTGCAAAGTTATCATGGTTTAAATTGTTTTGGGGGGTAGGAGACAGACACTTAAAATGTTGAGATACTTTACATGTATAAACACTTTTATCAATGCCCAAGAGTTTGCATATATGCAGTCCAACTGGATTCTCACAACTCTGTGGCTGGAGACAGGGCAGAGAATTGTTAACCCTTTCCACAGATGCAGAAAACTGAGGCACAGAGGTGTGGCTTGCCCAAGGTCACACAGCAAATCAGTTGAAGCAGGGACCAGAGCCCATGCTCCTCAGATCTGGGTACAGAGCTCTTTCTGCATCTGATGTTTTAGGGATAAGATAGGGACCATCAGGGCACAGAGGAGGGATTCTTGGTGTCAGGGTAGAAAAGATGCCATCTGGGCAGGAGAGCTTAGTTACTGCATCCACGAGTGCATGTGTGGGTCAGGATATTGTTGTTTCGACCATCCTGCAGCTTGCTTGAGACCTGACTTCCTACTCGGCCTTCCAGGTCTGAGATCTGGCCATCATGTCCCTGCTGCCTCCTGAGCCTGCAACAAGCACAACACAGACCTGGTTAGTGATGGCAGGATGGGTGCAGCCACACACTTGTGAGAGACTCCTGATAGACCACTGGAATCTGCTCTCCCCCAAATGTATGACTCTGTGGGAGTCCCCAGTGTTCCACTTGGTTATACCTGGTGAGTGACTTAACACACAGAGCCTCAGTTTCTCTGTCTATAAAATGGAGATAATAATTCCAACCTTGCCAATCCCTGTGCTATTTATGAACTATCACAGATGTAATTAATTTGCTCAAGTTCACAGCCAGTAGAGTTGGTTGGTGAACTCATGCACCATTCATTCTGTTTATTCCCATGGATGGAGTAGTAGCCATGCCTTGGGGCAGGGACTATGCTGGCAAGCAAAGAAACCATGCTCTCTGTCCTCGCAGAGCTTATGCTAAAGAGATGGGTGGTGACCAAAAAATCCCACAGACAAACATCTGAACAGTGAAACACCCAAACTGATAAAACACTACAGGAAAAGCTGTACTGAGGGAACAGGAGCCTGAACACTGCATTTCTTAGCCGCTGGCCACCTGCTACAGGTTGGAAGATGTCCATATCCCCCCCCCTCTTTGATCTTAAAGTTCAGGTTCACTCACTATGTCACAGCTGCCACTTGCCTGTGCATAGTACAAACCAGAGGAGGAGCAGAGGCATTCAAGGGACAAGTAGAGAACTTAACTGAAACCCAGGCTCTAACCTCCCGAGTTGCTTTGGTGAAGCTGCTTAGCGTCTCTGAGGCTCTGTTTCCTTAGCTAAAGTGAGGTTTATGGTGTGTAGGAGGCAACAGGATCAGATAGGTGTGAGGGTAGCCAGTAGTGTGTGTCTGCAAATACTAATTCTTACTAGACTGATGACACATATCAGTAATTCCAGCTCATGCAAGACAGGTATTGAAGGGCAGAAAGCAAAGACTTGGTTGAGGTAACTCAAAGCTCTTCAAGAATGCTCTTGCCTCCTCTGGAGAGCTCTAGCAAGTCTTACCAAACCCCAGGTCCCCATATACCAAGACTGCATCTGGGAGCTACTGAAGTCCTTGGGTGCAACTCCTTGGTGTTGAATTATAAGTGAGCCACCTGCAGCCTTCCTGGCCTCTCCCCCATTCCATCTTCTTGTGGTGAAAAAGGAAGGGGCAGAAAGGAGCTGAGAACTGGTTGAAGCCACAGTGTGTTGGAGGGGAGCCCAAGATTCATATACAAAACTCTATTTTTGACCTTCCTGGCTGTGCTTTCTGGGCACCGTTCCTGGCAGAATTCTCTCTGGGTTCAGTGAGGCAGCCAAGCTTGTGTCTGTTGGATGGCTATTTCTTCTGACACTAGACATTTCCCTTGTAATCATTTCCAGCCAGCCTTGAGCACTAATCAGTCCTCTTCTCAAACTCACTTTTTTCTCAGAACAGCCTAGAGGAAAGGCAGAGTGGCTGTACTCATCTTGGGTTCCCATTGTGTTCATGAGGTTTCAAGTACAGAACTCTCTGGGAGCTCCTCCCTGCCTGCTTCAGCTATTGGTGGAGGTGGTCATCCCTCAGTGTCCCCTGGGCTATGGCAGTATCTCTCTCTCCACATTGGCTCTTTCCTGTGATGTGGGGCTACCCTCCTCTAGAGGGGCTTCATGGTGACTCACGGTGGAGTGCTGTGAGATGCCAATCTATGCCTTCTTCATAAGAAGCCTGGGTATAAAATAAAGGCTAACCAGTGGGAAACAATGTAAAGATCTCACAGGGGAAGCTGTCAGTGTCTATGTGCTTGCTTCAGAGAATCCTGCTAATATTCCATATCTGACACGTTTTCCCATTGGTGTTGTCTCAGCTTTTTTTCCTGTTGCTCTGATAAAACATTATGACAAAAGCAATTTAATGATCAAGCGTTTATTGGACTCAGAGTTCCAGGGTACAACCCATTATAGCAGGGAAGTCACAATGGCCAGAGCTTCCGACACACACACACACACACACACACACACACACACACACACACAGGGCTGTGCTGAGCATCAAATGCTGAAGCAGGTGGAGATGGCTATAAAGAAACAGCCATGGTACCTGGCCTAGAGCAACTTTCACATCCTTTCTGATGGCTGTGTTTTTCCTATCCTTTACTGACTGAGATGAGCATGCTGGGATCAGCTGCCCTCTTGAATATCATACTTAAATTTCCTGTGATGCAAACCTGAGTGTAATTGACATGGGTGCCAAGTTCTCAGGAAACTGTTGAGAGCCTTCTGAGTCACCTTTATCTCTACATGAAATTTCCTCCTAAAGTTTCAGGGCCCCTCACTTAAAAAACAAAGTTTATTTTCCCCAGCACTGTCTTGTACTTGGGAGAGGCTGCCACTCTGGTTGGTGTTGCTAAGGACCCAGGAAGCCTGGTTCTGTCCTGCTTATGCCCTGTGCTCACCTCTGACCTAGATGGAGGGTACACTATCCACAACTGCTGAGACTCAGACTCCATTTGAGCAGGCTTCTTTTCTCAGTATTTCATTAGCCGGTGATGGGGAATTAAAGCACCTGTAGAAGGACAGACCCCGTGGAGCTACTCCCAGACTCACATCATCCCATACCTTACCTGCCTAGGTGTAGAATTTCCCACATGCTTCATCCCTTAACCCAAGTAACAACAGCAACGATGGTTATCATTTCCCTGATGAGCATCCTCTTCTGCTTGCTGAGCTCTGTGCCAGACTCTCCACCCCAAGGAGCAATTCTTCTTACTTTGCCATACTGACAAGCAAGCTCAGAGAGGCTAAGGACCTTGCCTCAAGAAGTTCTGAGGGCTCCACATCATTCTACACCCACATCAGAGCATACTTCTTTTGAGGATTAAAAAGCAGCTCCTAATTCTAAATCTAGAATCATCCTTCCCTCCAGGGCCTGAGCATGGCTCCACTGTGCCCTCTCTTCCAGCACCAGGGCTGCTGTCACTCACTGTTAGTGGTGCTGGACCACCTTCTCCTGGGACCCTTAGTTCTGAGGGATGGGCTTAGCCCAGAGATGACAGAGCCCAGGGGTGACTGCATTTCTGCTGTGGGCCTTGGTTCTGGGGAACGGGCTCTGCCTGGATGTAGCAAGGTGAACTTACTTCTCTCGGTTGAATATGATAAACTCCTTCCGTACTGTCTCCAAACACTGCTGCAGGTGTCCGTTCTGTCAAAAAGCACAGAGAGGGGACTAAATGGCAGAGCACCGGTGAGGATATAGCAGAGGGTCATTAAGGGCAACTAGTTTACTTACATTATTTAAATGAGAATCATGCCACTCAGGACTTAGAAACAAGTTCAGTGGCTGGGGCCAGCAACTGTGTTGGCAGACAAATGTGTTTCTTAGTTTTAAGGGGTAAAAAATCATAGAAGCCACTCTAGGATGGAACATGCCTGGTGCTTTTGAGTTGGACCTCCCTCATATTTGGATGCCTCTCAAGCCTGTTTCAGGATGCAGAGGAGATGTTAAGATCAAGACACTCATGCCAAGTCGTCCTTCCAGGATCGGAATGTTATGGGGATGCACCCTAGAAGTTGCATGTAGATGGTACCTGATGCAAGGAAGCCACTTCCCCTCTGTGAGCCTTTGGGATGACTAGCTCTGTGACCACACACCCCCAGATCCAGCCAACTGCAGTCTGAAAATGTTGGGAAATAAGATTTTCCGAAGTTTCCATAAAGCAGACCTTAAGATTTGAAGTGCCTTGAACACTATGCAAAAATCCACAAGAATCCACATGTGATCTGCCCTCCTTAGCTTCACTGGTGTCACAGAGCCCAGCTTTCTGTCACCATCCCTCAAGTCTTACTCATGCACTTTGCAGTTAGGCCTGCACTGGCAAGTTCTCTGTTGGACAGTGATGCCCAACACCTAGGTGCACAGCATTTGCCCTGTGTCACATGATGAAAGTGATCCTAAAGCAATTTGAAGCATATGGGGGATGTGCCCAGGTTTTTACCCAGTACATCATTTTATACAAGGAGTATGAGGGTGTCCGGGGTTGGCATCTAGTGGGGGCCCTGGCACCACTTCTCCAAGGACATAGAGAGAGGAAAGGGAAGGGTGGGCTGAAATGTACCTTTTAGTAAGAAGAAACCTTCCTCCACACATCCCTTCTTCCCCACAGAACCCTCCCCTGGGGGCTCACCAGGGGACAGCTGTCCTTTGCGCTGTCTCTGGACCTATGCTTGGCCAACCTCTTCTTTTTTTTGTGAAGCGGCTTGGATTCTAGAATCATTTCTTCAAGTTCAAACGTGGGGTCACAGTTCAGTCTCCCTTTCTGGAGGGAAGCAGAAAGGAAAAGCATGGTTTGCGGTTATTTTGTCCATCACTGGCTATGCATCCTTTCCACATAGCCAGGCATCTTCACATTCGGCAGTGACATTAGCTGGCACCCTGCTGTGGCCTTATGTTTCTCTCTGATGATGAATCAATACAGTCTCAGCATACACACCATCTGTTTAGAGACACAGTCCCAGTGGGGAAACCTCAGCCTGTTAACTCCCTGTGTTTAAATCAGTGGTTCTCAGCCTTCCTAACACTGTGACCTTTTAATACAGCTCCTTATGTTGTGGTGACTCCAGTCATAAAATTTCTTTTGTTGCTATTTCATAATTGTAATTTTGCTACTGCTATGAACCATAATGTAAGTATCTGTATTTTCCAATGGTCTTAGACAACTCCTGTGAAAGTGTTGTTTGAATCACAAAGGGGTTATGACCCACAAATTGAGAACCACTCGTCTAAATCCTCTGACTGTTTATAAATGTATTTTTACCTTATTTATTATTTAGTTTATTTTACTAATTCTTTCATTATAGACACACATGTCATTATTTTCCTTATTATGGTTTTCCATAATTTAATTTGAATTTTAATTAATGAACTTTTGAGGTTGCCTTGGCTGAGACAGAGTCTAACTATATATAGCAATGGCTGACCACAAACTCACAAAGATCTACCTGCCTCTGCCTAAGCACCATTTCTGATCAACATTTGTCCAGCTCCCTGTCCTGCTTACCAGTTCCTTTCCACAGCTGGAGCTGTCCACACCCAGGCCAGGTCCTGCTGCAGGATGGGGGCTCCACCTGTCCTGATTTACAGGCTTGGGCCCTCACATCGGGGGTCTGAGACTGTCCTTGAGGGCTGGCATCTTGATGACACACCCATTGGCCATGTAGCCCTGTGACAGCTGCATGTCAACAGCTCTGCTGTCGCACAGGGAATCCTAGTGCTGCAGTTCTCTGGTCCTGGGCAGGCTTCCTCACTTCTGGGGACTCAGGATGATGGGAAAGCCTGACTTCCAAAGACTTACCTCAAGGTTTCTAGAAAGTATTTCAGTCCTTTCTGTTCTTCATGTCCCCAGACCTGTGAGGGCATGGCTTGCTGTGACCTAGTTAAGAGGATCCAGGCCAGGTGCTGCCTCAGGGACAGGTAGCTTGCATCTGAGCACTCATCTTCAGTTGAGTGACTCTAGATGACACATGACCTCTGCCCTGTGTCCACCACTGTGTGAGATGAACAACTTCAAAGGCTTCTAAGATTCAATGAGATAGACCCACTAAGTATCCAGCGTCTGCCCCTTCAAGAACAGTACACCACTGGAATGCTAGCCTCCAACCTAAGTCACAAGCTAGGGTTTGCTGACCATACCAGTTTGGACAGGCTGCTGTACTGTCTCAAACCTGATACAGCCAGAGAGCAGAGGAAGAGCCATGGAACTGGAACAAATCCTGGCTCTTCCACCACAGGTCACTAAACCCCCTGTGAGTTTCACTTTCCACAGGGTAATGAGACTGACATGAGAAAATGGGGCAGGACATTTGGGGCCACACCCTGCCTTTCAGTGGGACCCGTACACACAATGACCCTTGTTCTGTTTGTCCTGTGGGCCCCAGCTCCTCCCATCATTATTGACTTCTTGAACTTGGCTAAGAATCCTTTCCTTGTTATACAATTTTACCTCAGCATTTGCCCTCTTTCAAGGAAAATCTTGAATTCAGGCTCTAGTCTCTCCTGAGAGGCCTGTCATCCATTCATTCATCCACCCAAATGCAGGCCTGGATCCTGCTTTGCCTGAGTTCAAGCTCTGCTGACCTCATCCCAGGTCATCGTGGGAAAATTACTTTAAGTCACTTGGAATACTTAGAAGATCCACTCTCAGGCCAGTGTGAAACTTCTAGGAGCTAAAGCATGGGAAGTTCTAAGAACAATGCCAGCACCGAGTGCATATTCAGCCATGTTGGCTCTCATCCACAGTCACATGACAGTGTTGCACTACAGCCCTCTAGTGCCTTCTAGAGCATTGCCATGGGATTCCTGAGAAGAGGCCAATGAAGATGGGCTCTCAGGAAGATGTCTGTCTCCCTGTGACCAACCAGCATCTGTGCTAACACAGCCCTTAACACCAGTTTAGAGTGCAGGAGAGGCCAGGGAGGCTCAGGAGGCCAGGGAGGCTCAGAGCCCATGGGTCCACTGCAAGAAGCCCACCTTGGAACTCTAATGCTCAGAAACTTATAGCTGCTGCATTACAAGGTATTTCAGTTAAAGATGTTTTATTTCAACAAACTAATCATAACTTAGGGAAAAAGATGGCTGAAAGATGTATGTATGTTCTGTATGGTGTGGCCACACACGTGTGTGAACTGTGATTGTGAATGCATGAATCCTAACAAAAGGACCTACTTGAATTGCTTTGAATGTACTCAAATAGGGCACCAGGTTAGACGGTGTCTTAACAGGAAAGGTTGGCAATCTGTGCCTCCCACAGCTGGTCCCCAGAGCTGGTCAGTAGGAAATGGCCAAAGCTAGCATGACCTGAGAGCCCAAGGAGCCTGTATAGAGGTTCAATAGCCTTTAACAGAGGAGAGGATACAAAAATTCTCCTATTTTTGTGGTTAAAAAAGAAATCTAGAGAATGGAGGTTAATGCATGATTTGAGAAAAGTTATGAAAATCTTGGATCTCAGTGAAGCATGAACCTGTTGGTGCCTTACTTTTGTGACCTTCAGGGAGTAAACCAGTCAGTGGCGGGGGTCATGCTTAATATGAAGGCAGGGACCTGTTGAAGGAGGGGGGGGTTGACTCACATTGGGCACAAAGCCGGGCATCAGTGCCTTCTCGAACACCGCATCCCAGTTCATGTCAGCCATGTAGGCCGTATTCTGGATGTCACTGAGGCTGGACAGGCGGCTCTCGGGATCCTTAGTCAGCAGCTGCGGTTAGAGGGGAAAGACACTTATGTGAATGATGTATCCCACCTGGGTGAGCATGGGTTGGAAAATGGAGTCTTGTCAACACTTAGGGTGCCCTTGCATCCATGCTGGGCAGTGGCCTGCCCCGTCTGGGTTAGCTCCAGAGTGCCAAATGTACTCCTAAAGCTAGGGAAGGACTTCAAGTCAGCTCTTCTCTAAGGTCATGTGGCAAATGACTCCTGAGGAGGGACTAAGTTTTCAGTCTCCATGTCCCTCCTTGGGGCTCAGTTATCTGAAAAACATCTTGTCTCTGATGTTCACAAAAGCTTTGATTAGAAAGAACAGACAAGCCACCTCATCTGAGGACTTCTGACTTGGTTTCACAAGAATGAATTTCACCCCATGAGTTACAAGATGATCTCTGTGACCTAACTGAATGGCCCACTTTTACCTTTCCTTGAAGCCAGTTTCTGCTAATGGAGCTAGAGTGTAAAAACAGCTACAGAGGGGCTGGAGAGATGGCTCAGTGTTTAAGAGCATTGGCTGTTCTTGTCCAATTTGGTTCCCAGCATCCATATGATAGCTTACAACTGGAGTTAGTAACTCCAGTTCCAGGGGTTCTGATACCCTGTTATTACCTCCATAGGCACCAGGCATGAAGATAAAACATACACACATAATAAATAAACCAAAAAATAAACAAAAACAATACAGGGAATTGCTTTGCATTACCTCTGTTTCTTACATGCATGCATGCATATGTGTAGATTTGTGTGCATGCATGTGTGTGTATGTGTATGTGGAGGCCAGAGGTTGCCATGTCTTCCTCTATGGTTTTCCATCTTATTTTTGTGACAGGGTCTCTCTCTGAACATGGAGCTTTCAGATTTGGCTAGACTGGCCAACAAGCCTCAGTGATCCTCCTTTTTCCACCTTCCAAGTACAGCATAGTGCTGGATTCAGATTTTTAGGTGGGTGCTGGGGAATCCAAACTCAGGCTGCTATGCTTGCCAAGCAAGCACTTTGCCAAATGAGTCATCTTCTCAGCTCCTGCACTAGAAAACTCTAGTTACGAGATGGAAAGACCATGGGTCTACACTGGGCAGGGCAGGGCAGGGTAGGGCTTACCCCTGGGACTGCCACCTAAAGGGAATGCCCAATGGCCTGGTGACCTCCTGATATTGGTCCTTCATCTGGGTCAGGAATGGTGGCAGCTCCCCCACTTCCAGCACAGGGCCAGGGTTGGTAAGAACCTGGCATGTGCTAAAGAGGAGTGTGCCACTCAGTGCCAATAACAAGGGATTCCTTTTCCACCAACACTTCTTGTCATTGCAGAAACATCCCAACTATACCTTGAGTGATCAGGACCACCGCACATGAGAGACATCTGGCAAGGACCCCATCTGGCAAGGACCACATCTGTCAATCAATGTGCCCTATGTTTAGGGACTTCCAAAAAGCAATGGGTACAAACTTAGACAGGCTCTTCTTAAATGGCATCTGGGAGCTAAGTGTTGGGAACAACTGTCCTAAGAGCAAGCCAATGCTCCTATGTGTGCACCAAGGCCCAAACTTCTGACTTACTGGGTTTGCTGAGGGGCCAGGCACTTGGAGAACCAGCATTCATTCTACTAGCAAGTTCCCACCACAGGAATTCTTAAGGACCAGAGGCCAGCAGCCACATGCAGTATATATTTCTGTTTATTAGGAACTTGCAGTGAATTGGAAAGAGCCTGGGCCATGCTGTCACACACTGCACCATGCTGGGCTTTGTGATCCGTGAATGACCCCGTGGTAGCATTTGTTACTGGGTGTTAGTGCACTAGCTGCCCCTTCCACACAGCTCCCTGATCTCCCACCTTCTTCAGCAGGGTCACCATCCCCTCACACCACATGGAGGAGTAGTGGACACGCTCCACCTTGAACATGTTGAGGATCTCATCAATGGGTGTGGTCGAGTGGATTTCATATGGCCTCTGTAATAGAAGACAACACCAGAATCAGAGAGAACGTCTTAGAAAAGGCAGCCCTCTTGTTGGAAGACTGTGTGATGACGGCTGTTCTCTTTCATAGCAGGGCAGTGGAAAAAGAGGGCATGGAGGTGATACCTTGGTCAGAGGAGGCTGGGGCATCTTTCTGTGAGTGGAAGAGGCATGACTCACTCTGCTGCTATGGTCACAGACTGGGTGCTGGTACCTTCCATTGAGCACCCACAGGGACATTTCTAGTCACAGCCTCCATCTGCTGGAAGATCAGCCACCACTGCTCCCTGTATTGGCTGAGCAGGTCTATGAGTGTACTATTCCACTGGATATGTGTTGGGTATGAATGCTGGTAGGAAACTTACAGAGTGCAAGCTTGTGAGATCAGGGGTGCTCTGTGGTCCCTATAGGAGATGGGACAACCAGAGCACAAAGCCACCACCTGGATATGGGCCCGGGACTGGAAGATGGGTTTCTAGATTATTCAGGATTCTTCCTCCATTTCTATCCTTTCACTGGGCTATTCCACCACTACTGACCCCCCTCCCTCACCCCATACATTGAGGACAAAGGATGTCAGGGAATAAGACATCCCTGTTTCCATCCTCACTTTAAAAGCCAGGAACCTAAGGCTCAGAGATGGGGCTTTCTCAGAGACTGACTGTCTTTCCCTGCTCTCTCTAGAAATCTAAGTGAGGAATCAGCCAGAGGTCAAAGGCAGGCTTTTCATATCACTGACATTTGAGTTTCTACTGTCTTGGCCATTCACCAACTCTCCTGAGTTCTGCATTTCCATCAGACTTCCAAGGAGTTTCTCTCTGATATCTGAAATCTCCCCCCTCCCACCTGGAAGGAGTGTTTTGGCTACACCAGCACCAGTGGTAATCATGGGAACTCTGTATGTGAGTCTATACTCATTCCTGTGTACACACGTTTGTGTGTGTGCCTGTAAGCCAGATATTGAAACTGAGTGTCTTTATTCTCCCTCCTTTTGGTTTTTGAGATGGATTCTCTTCCTCAACTTGGAAGTCCCCAGATGGGTTAGACTAGCTGGCCAGAGAGTTCCCGTGAGCTGCCAGTTTCCGACTCTCCAGCCATGGGGTTACAGGTATTTGCCATTGCCCATGAGGTTTTTTTTTTTTTCAGAGATTCTAGGGGATCAAATTCAGGTTCTTATGCTTGTGTAGTGCTTTACTGACTGCACCATGACCCATCACTGATCATGAGAACTTTAACCTTTAGACACAGGCAGTATGCACATCTAAAGTCAGCCTGGGGCACTGCGGCTAAGATATTCCTGATACCTAGGTTCCAGGTTTAGCCCTCCTCGGTTTGGGTGGGCATGGAGACACATGCCTTCCTCTGAGTTAAACAGCAAGTATTAAGACCCAAATTGCATCTTCTCACAGTGATGGACCTCATTACTGCTTTGTTCTCATTGTCCTTAGGATGCCCTGACTCAGAAGCCGCTGTCTTTAGAGGTACAGTGATTGTGAGGCCTGCTGGCAAAAGTGGTTTCCGCAACAGGACACTGGGTCGCTTATGCCGGAGTGAAGGTATGTCTTTATTCTAGGAAACTTTTTTTTTTTAAAAAAAAAGTCAATTTGTCATTAAATAGGAGGTGTAGAAGGGGAGAATTGGTGGAGACCTGTCATTTTATCTGCTAGAGTAGGGCTGGCAGACCATCGGATCCCACAAACGCCCTCTAATCTCTTTACTCAGAATAACTGTCCTTTGAAACTTGAAACTCCAAAGCCTGAGAGTTTCCCCTCTGGAACTGGTAGATGATCTCCACAGAAACTGTAAGTCTGGAGATTGATGAGAAAGCAAGATCCACCCCAGGATGTGCAGGAAAGAGCAGAATTACCTCCTGGGCTCCCAACTCCAGGCACTGTGGTCTATCTGCTTTGCTGAGACAAGTCAACAATCCTCCCCACTTCAGGCTGAGCCTTGCACCAGGGTGTACACAGCAGTTTTTGGTTCTGCACTTGATCTCTTCTTTATAGGATGCTCCAGATGTCCTTCCTCTATTGACTTGACCTCTAAACCCCAATATTTTCACTTACAGTCCCCAAGAGGTACTGGCTGGAGTTAAAGGTGAGGGGCAGCACAGAGAAGCAAGTTGTTGGTAGTCAAGCTAGGAGGGCAGCATGGTCCTGACTGGTCTCCAAGCCTCACCTCTACTGATAGAGCTCCCTTGCATGTGGTCCCCTGGGGAGGTGTCACTCAGCCCTCCTGATCACCATGGCAGAGGCTCTCTATCCAGGGCAGTTTGACCCCGGAGATACTGGGGTGTCACCACTGGATGGTGGAGGTTTCTGCTGGCTGCCAGTGTGTACAACCACATTTCAGATCACCTCATGACCAGTCTCCACCCCAAAGGATGGCCTGGCCCAAATATCCACAACACTGGGGTTGAGTCTCTTATACTAGGCTCTGCCCTTGTAGCAGAACTCAGAAACACATGATGCTTAAGCTCATGTCTATATGTAGTTACCACTCTGTCACTTCCCTACCTAAGTCCAAGGGACGGCACTGTGCCATCCACCCCTCAAAGCCCAACCCCTCAGGGCCCTTTATGGAAGTCCTCTGTCCACCCTATGACAGGTGAAAGGGTTCATTGACTGCTGAGTCTGTCTCAGCCTCCCTTCTCTGTCCAGTTAACACCACTGCTGACAATTCACAGGTGAACCATCTTAGATGCCACGCAGGAACTCCTGCGTGATGATGTATTATTTATGATTTATTAAAGCTTGCCTGAGGATTCAGAAAGCAAAGTCAGCCACTGGCCATAGAAGCCAGGCACACACCTTTAATCCCAGCAGCCAGAAGCTAGGAGGTGGTGGTACACACTTTAATCCTAGGACTCAGGATTAAGAGATAGATGGATCTCTGTGAGTCCCAGGCCACCAAGATCTACACAAGAGTGAATCAGTCTAAACAAGAATTATAGCTCACACCTTAAATCACATTAGGGAAGTGTATAAGACAGAAGCAAGATCTCAGAGAAGCATTCATTCACCAGCCACAATGAGGAAAGGCAGCAGTTTGAGACTTGGTGAAGGGCTTGTGCGTGGATCAACCCTTTCAGCCTGAGCTAGAGGTAAGAGCTGCTTTGCTTTTCTGATATTCAGTTTGAAGTTTGAACCCCAATATCTGTCTCTGGGTCTTTTATTTATTTGTGTTACACTCCTGCTCACACTACGGCTGACAGCTCACAGGTGAACTATCTTAGATGTCACACAGGAACTCCTGCTCACACTGATGCTGACAATTCACAGATGAACCAGTTTAGATGTCCCTTGGGGTCTCCCAACTGTGCCCTCAATGCCCAAGCTGCATCCATGGCTCCTGTGACACTATCCTGCTATATGTTGATATCATCATTAGCACTCTGCCCCTCAGCCCCTTGCTACTAAGGCTCTGGTCACATTTTCCTCCAACTCCACTGTGACTGTATTCATTATCTTCCTTTTATGAATAAGGAAGCCGGGGCTCAGACAAGGTAATCATAAATTACAGTATGAAGAAGCATTTATGCTCTCACACCTGGAGCCTTTTCATTTAATAGATGGCAGCCTGGCTGGGCCCTGCCTCTGCCCCAAGGGCCTGTGTAGTGTGTGAAGTGTACTAAGCTGGGAAGGTCACAGTAGGCCACTCTGGGTGGGAGCCTTGTGGAAGTTAGGAAGCTGGGGTTTGTACAATGCTTATATCCCTAGGTCATTAAGTCTCCACACATCCCTACTGGGGAGCTATGACGTTATTATATGACAGAGGTTGACAGAGGATCTGAGCACTCCAACTGCTTAGAAGCCCTGCTTAAGGTCACCCATGGGATGGGTCCCTGATGAGCCAGGGAGGTTCCTCTCAGAGTCTCTTTCTTTGTTACAAGGAAGCAGCTCTCCTCTGAGTTACAAGGGAACTTCCCTGTTTGCTACGGATACACGAGGCAGCTTCTCTCTGCAGGTAAGGAGGCCCCTGGATCCCAAAGGTGGTCATCTGTCAGGGTGGCATCCATGTAGGAGGGCTAGTGTCTGCACTGCAGGTCACTAAGTCTCTTCTGTGGGGATGTGGAAAGGGGGCAGAGTCTCCTTTTGCCCTCCCCTCATCACTCCACTCTGCCTTTTCCATTACTCATTCTCCAGGTTTACAGAACCTTGCTCTGTGGGAATTGTGATCATGAGGGGTGCTCATCTGGGTGTTTTTTCCCAAGGCAGGTTTGTAGGGATAAGAGCTGAGATTCTGCTCTGGGTTCCAAGAAAGACTATGTCCCCTGCACCTCTTACCCAGACTATAAATGAGCTGCTTGCACAGGAGATCAGGTCCCTCTGTTCTTCCTGCATGGTGCCTGACTCTTCATGAGAGAGACAACAGTTTTTTGTTTTATTTTTTATTTTTGTCAGAACTAGAGCGTTTCTGAGACGCTGGTCGACAAGCCACACTAGCAGCACACTTCCTCACCTGCCTTTCCTGGAGCTCCCCTAGTCTAAGCAGGAAAGCCCACTGCTGCCTGCTTTTGTCTTTGGGAAGCCAGGAGCCTCACTGCCGGCGTGTGTGTGTGTGTGTGTGTGTGTGTGTGTGTGTGTGTGTGTGTGTGTGTGCATGTGCGTGCACGCACAAATGGCCAAGAAGAAGAATAACTTCTGAATCCACGGTCTACAAGTAAGGTGAGGAAGGTGAGGTGCTATTGGACTGGCCATTTGACTAAACTAGTGGTCTCCAGTATGAAAACAAGAAAGCAGGCTATATCATAACTCAATGCCCCTTGGGTGGACAATTCTGCCATGCAAAGACAAGTTGGGAGAAAGGACACCCAGCTCCCCACAGATGTGCTTTCTGGTAGTTACATGGTCCCATCATCCCTGTACCAAAGGCCTTCACTGGCCCTGTGATTCCCTCTCTTCCCTTGAAAGTGGTCTCTGAGTAGAAAACTCTCAAGAATGAGAAACGGAGAACTTAATTTTGAAGAAGCAGGCTTTCTTCTATATTTTTTTTTCTTGCCAAGCCATTTCTGGACACTGTTCTGGCCTTTGAGGAATAATAGCCAGCATCATTTCTGCTGGCATGCTTCCTCTTGCTGAGGACCACTGTGCACCAAGGTCACCTGCATGATGGATTGTATAAAAACCACAGCCTCTGGGGCAGCAAGCATCCTGGTTCGTCTGGGGTTAGGAATGCTCACATCCCCCAATGGCGGTAGAACTGAAAAGTATCTGCTAAAACAAGTGAACCTGTGGAGTGCTAACTCTTTCATTCAGTACCCAGGGAGGCAAGCAAGTTCTCATTTTCTCTGCATTCTGAAAATGCCATGCACCGTAATTAAGTTTTTGAGGAATTCATGGGAAATAACTAAATTCAAGAGCAGAAAAAGTTGGCTGAACTAGAGTCAGTTATAGGCTGCCCTCATCATCATTCATTCAAGAAACATTTGTTCATTCCTGATCATCCAACAGAAAGGATTCTCCCACAAAACCAACCAACCAACCAAATAAATAAATAAATAAATAAATAAATAAATAAATAAATAAGATCCTGACTTCAGGCCATCACAAGGAAATCCAAAGAAACAACTAATCTGGGTTCATAGGAGTTCATAGACTCTGGGCCAACAGCTAGGAAGCCTACATGGGACTGAACTAGGCCCTCTACATGTGTGCGATAGTTGTGTAGCTTGGTCTACTTGTGGAACTCCTAGCAGCAGGAGCAGGATCTGTCCCTGATGGTTTTGGCTGGCTTTGGGGAACCTATTCTTCATACTGGGTTGCCTTGCCAGCCTTAATACAAGGAGAGGAGCTTAGTACTACTTCAACTTGATTTGCCATGCTTTGTTGACACCTATGTGAGTCCTTCCCCTTTCTGAACAAAGCAGAGGAGGACTGAATGGTGGAGGGGGCAGAAGGGAGGTGAGGAAGGGAATAGAAGGAGAGGAGGGAGGGGAAATTTCCATTGGGGTGTAAAATAAATGAAAAAAATTAATAATAAAAAAGACCCTGCCTTCATGGAGGCTGCCCTCTGTTACTATGAAGAATACAAAACCATGTTAGATTTGCAGACAGTGGGATTAACAAGTTTTGTTTTGGTCAATGGAGCCACAGAGACAGTAAAGCAGGGAGAGTACCACAGTTCAGGGGCAAATGTCCTCTACCACCAGCTCCACAAAACATTCTCTCTGTTACATGGTTGAGGAAACAGCCAAGGAACTGAGATGATGTAAATTTCCAATGATATTTGTAGAAAAAAAACACACTCCAAAGGCAGTTTGGTCACAAGAGTTTCAGCCTAAATAAAAATATAAGCTATTGGTTATTAGCTGGCACCATCATCTTTAGCAATTTAGTGCAAACAAGCCAAAAGTAAAAACAGGCACTGACCTTCCAAGATCATCCTTAGAGATTCTGAATTAAGTATTTGGGGTTGGCAAGATGAGAGAGAAACAATAGAGAACACCCAGTCAAGTGGGGAAGTTGGGCTCCCATGCAACTGTGAGTTCAGATGAGTGAGTTTGAAAGTAGGAGGCTAGGGTGCTTTATCCTGAGTCATTCATTCACAGACCTTCTGTGACTTCCTTCCCTGGGTAGATAGAAGGATCTTTTTCCCTATTAGAAGAATAAGTGGCTGGGCCAGAGCTTCCTGAGGGGTGGCTACAATCCTGGACCAGCACCTCCTCCTGGCATCTTACCAACCATGCAGATTCATGTTTCCTCTCCACCTCATTTTCCACAGGACTTACCCAGCCTCGTAGCAGCTCATAGGCCGTGACGCCCAGTGACCACCAGTCCACAGGGTATGAGTACCCAGGGCCTCCATCCACATACACCTGGAAGACTTCCGGGGCTGTAATGACAAGGCAGAGAGAATATCAGTTATACCCTGCCTTGGGCATAGGGAGACAAGCCAGCTAGTAATTCCTTCACTGTCACCAGCAACTGTCCCGGGGGAGCCACAGCAGGCTTGGAACAGAGCAGAAAGGGTCTGGGTGTGTGGCCCCATGGTAAGAGTCAGGGAGGTGCATGGGCATGAGTCATGTTGGGAGACCCTAGCATGGCTCACACCTATAGTGGAAAGTAAGACCTGAGCCTTGGGTTGGGAAGATTACCGTTCTGTCTCTGTATCAACTCGGACTAGGTGGTCAGGTACGAGGATGCTGAGTGCTCTGTGCCTGCAGCCAAGCTCAGGAACAATTCAGGCAGTAAGTCAGAGACAGAAAGCAGACAGAGTGCACTTCTGGTGGCAAAGACAGGAGATAGCAGCTGCTGTAGGGGTACATCCCTGGCCAAGGGAATAGTTTTGAAATGGGATAAAAGAGAAGGTTTCAGAGCAGTGTGGGTGTGCTACCCACCACAGGATGGCAAGGTCGGCCAGCATGGCTAATTTGATAATTTGTGAATTTTAATTTCCCATCTGTTCTGGAGAGCAACACGTGTGACTGAAGCTGTCAAGACTTCGTGTGGCGCTAGAACAGTGAGGAGAGTTTGGATCAGGGCAGGGTGGCTGTATTCTCCCTGGTATACCACCACGCTGAATCTGGAGCCTCTGGGGACATGCTACCATTTGACACCTTGAAGATGATGGAGATGAGGTTCAGAGAGAGCTATGGGTGTGAGGGAAGTCACACAGATTAGACAAGGGAAGCTGAGTAGTGTTCCCACTGTGGCCAAACCTTGTCTGATCAATCTTCTTGGTGGAATTGAGAGTTTGAGAAAATAGCTCCTTTTTCTCTTTCCCTTCCCTCCCCTTCCCTTTCTTTTTTTCTTTTCTCCTCTTCTCTTTTCTTTTGTTCCTTCATTTATTCCCTACTTCTATTCCTTCCTTCCTTTCTCCCTGCCTCCCTCCCTCACTTCCATCCTCTTCACTGAAGACCCAAATGGCTATGTTGTAAACATTAAGATAATGGGGCTTGGCTGGAGCAGAGTTTAACATGTCACTTAGCATTCTTTCCTGTTTTGTCAAATGTGGATAGTAATCATGGTTTGACTGCTGGTGTATTGACTAGCTTTGTGAACTTGACACAGCCTAGACTCATCCAGGAAGAGAGTCTCAGTGAGGAATTATCCATATTGGGATGGCCTGTGGGCATGTCTGTAGGGGATTATTTTAACTAAGTTAATTGATGTGGGAAGATCCTGCCCAACTGTGGGTGACACCATTCCCTAGGCAAAGCTGTATGAGTGGATGAATTATTCTGAGCACAGGCCAGTGAGCATCCCTACATTCACTTCTCTCTGCTCTTTCCTGTGGGTGTGATGTGACCAACTGTGGCTTCTGCTACTGTGGCTGCCCCACGATGATGGACTGTAACCCAGAATTGTGAGCCTAAATAAACCCTTTCTCCCCAAAGATGCTTTATGTCAGGGTGTTCTATCACACCAACACAAATGAGGCAGGAACAACTAGATGGATGGCACGATTCAGCAGCTGCCTCCAGGACACCTGGGTCACACTGGGCACTCTCTAAACCTAAAGCCTTAATAATGGCAGTTTGATTGCCACTCAAACCTCCCCTTTATCTGTCATGATCAGCCACCCTACCACCTGCCCAGTCACAAACAGCAGAGTTGTAGAAACTACTTTAAACTCCACCCTTCCCAGCCCTATAGGTTAGCATTTTTCAAATACTGTAGGTTTCAAATTTTCAGCTTTGTTTTTGTATATCCTTTCTTACCCATCCCTAGATCAGCCAGATTCCAAAGACAGTGAGCTCACTTTTTCCTTACTCAATCTCATCATCAAGGCAGCCATTGAGCTAGATAGAACCCATGAGATTTTACTTTCCTGTACCACAATCCATCTACTTGTCTGCTTCTTCCTGTCCTGGAGGATCTGGAAGAGAAAGGGTTGCATAGTGTTTGTATATGCAGCCCCAGGGCCTAGACACTATGGCCTGGTGACAGCTTCACAGGTGTAACCTAGGGACAGGGGGCACCAAGTGTTCCTCAATAATTATTATGAGTCTCTGCCATGCCCACAGTCTTTAGCACACTTGAGATTCAGTGTAGAAGCTGAAGGCAATGGATGCAGCCAGGATGCTATGAGTGACAGATGTTTGCAGTTGCAGGGAAGCTGATTCCCTGCTTCTGCACTCTTGTGGCTGATGACGGAACAGAAATGTTGATGTCATGATCCCTGCACAGCTGCTTTTGTGGTTCAGAATCACAGTGCTTGGATTCAGGGACCAGGGGGGAGTTGGAAACCTGACAAAGCCCTGGCAGGCATTGCTTAATTAATGACAGCACTGTAAGGACCAGATGCTCTGAAGGCTTCTGCATAAATTGAATCCTTTCAACTCTCAGCATGACAGGTGCAGAAGGCACTCTGTGATGAGGAAACTCAGGCAATAGGGGTGCAATGGGCTGAATGGCAGGCCCCAAGCCCCAACCCCAGTGCTTGTGAGTGCCACCAGATTGTGAAAGAGTCTTTGCAAATATAATGAAGTGTCTCATGGAAAAATCATCCAAAGTTCTGCTTTGGTCTTAAATCCCATGACTAATGTCTTTCTAAGGGAGATGAGGGATACTTTAAGATACAGAATAGCCATGTGAAGATGGAGGTAGACCATGGAGTGAGGCATCACAAGCCCAAGGACATCTGGCACTACCTGGATCTGCAGAAGTTGTAAGGATTCTCCCAGAGCCTTCCAAACAAGCATGGATCTACCATACCTTACTATCTCATTTCCAGTTCTAGAACTTAAAGGAGCAACTTTTCTGTGCCTTTTACTCTGGCAAATGAAAATTTGTTCTTTAGCCACAAAAGCCACTACATGGTGAGGGACTTGCCAGGATTGCCCATCTTGCTTGGCAGAGATGGCATCAAATGGCTCTCAGGTTCCTGACACCAACCCCCTACCTCATTACATACTGGGAACTGCCAGGAGGGACTGGGTTGCCTGGTTAGGGCTCTGGCTCTTCCCCTTCCATCTTTCTCTCTACATTTTTATTTCATACACTCTGAGTATTGTGTATTTATATGAGTATTTTATACACTATGCCCACTAAGTCTCCCTGTCTCTATAGCCCTAGTCCAGCTCAAAGACAGCTCCTGGGAGGAAGAAGCCGCTCAGTTGTTGGCTCATTCCTCATCTTTGCTCATGGACTGCCTTTGGTTGGATACCCATTATGGGGTTGGATACCCAGTCTCCTGCATCCAGCTCTATCCCCAGAGCTTCCTGCTTCTGTCTGTCCTTGAGACTGAGTGGGTCCCACTTTCTGCCATGTGATAAAGACCACTGCAATGTTCTGGTGCCAAACATCTTACTGCCATGCCAACTGCTGCAAACATGGTCCTCTGCAGTGCTGACATCTCTGGGAAGGCTAACCAATACCCAAGGAGAAAAGACCTGTCTTGGAATTATGAGGTCTAGCTGCATTCAATCCTGCTTGGCTTCCCAGAGCCTTTTGGGTGCCAGCATGCTCTGACAATTTCAAAGGAGCCCAACTCAATTGCATGAATTGGCAGTACCTCCACAGAATCCTGGTACAATTTTGTTTTTATCTCTTAGGGCAATACAGGGTACTGGTGCAGGAAATCAATCTAGATGTGGCTCCAGTTCTGCAATCCGCTGGTAGCTTCCAGGCTATGAAGAAGTCTGTGGAGGACTGAGTACCACCAATATATGCTAGTTGCTTCCCCTGTATAGCTACCTACTAGAATAAGGTCTCATTTATAATTCAGGCCCCATAAGAGACTAACAGCAATAGCAAGAGATAAAATAGATCATGATGATACATTATCCTGAGAATTATATGAATGTGGTCTCTCTCTCTGAAAATATCTTATTACACTTCCTTTATTCTCTTGTGATAGTGTGAGATAAACAATGAAGTGATGGGAGGTGGATAAAGTGTAAGGTAGCATGTCAGGGTCACTTCAACACAAGCTCTGCCATATGGTGATAGTCTACCAATAACGCAGATGTCTAGGCAACTGATGGAAAGATAGTTTACAGATGTATGCATTGCACAAAGTTGATTCACCCCTCCTGGGCTTACTGCTAAAACATACAATGTAAAACTCATGCCTACATACCCATGCATCATTATACTATATGTTTTTATATTGCTAAATATCTCCAAATAAATATGTTAAATCTTCTGAGTGAATTTGAACCCAAAACCAAGATTTTGTTTGAAATTTTAAAAATTACATCTATTTATTTATTTGCTTAGTATGTGTGTGTATCACAGTGCCATATGTGGAGATAAAAGAACAACTTGTGGGAATCACTTTTCTCCTTCTACCTTGTAAGTTCAGGGGATTGAACTCTAATTGTCAGACTTGGTGGCAAGTGCCTTTCCTCACTTATCCCCCAAACCAAGATATTTTTTATGGATATCCATTAATGCTACATTTGCATTAATTAGGATTTCTTTATAACCCCAAACAAAAATATGTGGCCTTACCACTGACATGCACATTAATAAACATTTGTCAGTGTACCCACGGTGTATGTGCTACCCTCCCATTGGTTACTGGTCATCTACATTATCAGATGGGCTATCACTATATGGAAGCATGTGTGTTTAAGGAATACACACACACAAAAAAAATGCTGGGCTTTGGTCACATTATCAGAAGTATTGTTTGCTTTTTGTTGTCCCCCATGGGCCCATGACAATGCTGGGTGTCTGCTGCCCACTCCATGAACTCCTGTGAGTTCACTTTGGATACAGGGGATGGACTTTGACACCATGGAACCTTTGGCTACACTCCTAGCAGTTTCCAGTTACATAGCAAAATCAGCATCACCATCCAGTAACTGCCTCTATTGGCAGCCAAACATTCCTTCCAAGGCAGGTTTTTAATTGAAATGAGTTTCTATGCCAAAGGGCATCAGG